AGATAAGACATTAAATACCGGTTGTATTATGTAACACCTACACTAATTGACGTTACTAAACTCGAAAACCACCCAAAATGTGGCATATTTATCTAAACATCATATCTATTTTTTGAATGCAGATCAATAAAGGGAATATTGCAGTCGCGTGGTTGAGCACCACACAGTCTGCATACATAATTTAAAGATTGACATGCATAAATGAATTACTGACAACAACAACCCAGGGTATGTAGAAGCATATTTGGGAGACCACGTGTTTAACAAGCTGCATTTCATATCATCAAAATACAGTATGGATTTCATTTTTTATATTTACATAAAAAAAGAAAGACAGTAATTTTGTTTAATACTCCTTGAATATTCGCTAACACACAATGGGTTTATTAATGTGAAACGGTTAAATATAAATACAGAAGATTCACACTAAATTAAAAGGAAGAGACGTGAGGATTTTGTTTTATTTGACTATAATTACCTATTTGCTTATATACCAGCTACGCCAAAGGAGGCCATTGTTTGGATAAGCCAATGCAAATCGACCAGGAAGTAGCTATATTAACAGTGCGTTTATTGTTTCATGTCAGCTTTCACAGGGTATCGTACAACTTATATCTAAGCTTAATGTCTATGGAGCTATACTTCAATAACCATCTAAAACTTATCTATATATTTTGACACATTTTGAATTAATTCAAACAAGCTAGAACAACTTTTTGTCATTGAATCGAGAATAATCGTTTTATGATAATGCTACAATCAAGCTAACAATGCATCGTAAGACGCATGGTTCGTGTTTAAACTTCGTTTGAAAAATTGTATAGTCATGGCCCTCGCATAAAGAAGATTTTCGTGAATACCAACACTTTTTTAACAATATTCCTGAAAGCAGTGATATACCTTTCAATACATATTTTTAGGTAACAATCAGTTATATATAACCAGGATATTGAATGGTCTTCCATTGAATACCATAGATATGTTTCACAAGCTTGACTCGCGGTTTAAGGTTTCGGTTTATTTTTCAATATGAAATATACGGTCAGAGATATGAAATTTAGAAAACAAATCATTGTTTTGCATTTCAGGAATAATAAGCGATACGTATTTCTGTACGAGTCAGTGAAAAGTGTTTCGGTATGAGTCAGTGATATTATTTTCAGTGTAAGTTCGTAATATCTATTTCAATGTGAGTCAGTGATATGTATTATAATGTGAGTCAAAGATATGTATTAAAATGTGAGTCAGTAATATGTATTACAATGTGAGTCAGTGCTATGTATTACAATGTGAGTCAATGATATATATGACAATGTGAGTCAGAGATATGTATTACAATGTCAATCAGTGATATGTAATACAATGTTAGTCAGTGATATGTATTACAATGTGAGGCAATGATATGTATGACAATGTGAGTCAGAGATATGTATTACAATGTCAATCAGTGATATGTAATACAATGTCAATCAGTGATATGTAATACAATGTTAGTCAGTGATATGTATTACAATGTCAGTGATATGTAATACAATGTCAGTGATATGTATTACAATGTCAGTGATATGTAATACAATGTCAGTCAGTGATATGTATTACAATGTCAGTGATATGTAATACAATGTCAGTCAGGGGTATGTATTACAATGTCAGTCAGTGATATGTAATACAATGTCAGTCAGGGGTATGTATTACAATATCAGTCAGTGATATGTAATACAATGTGAGTAAGGGATATGTATTATACTGTGAGTCAGATATATGAATTACAATGTCAGTCAGTGATATGTAATACAATGTCAGTCAGGGGTATGTATTGAAATGTCAGTCAGTGATATGTAATACAATGTTAGTCAGTGTTATGTATTACAATGTCAGTGATATGTAATACAATGTCAGTGATATGTAATACAATGTGAGTCAATGATATGTATTACAATGTCAGTGATATGAATACAATGTTAGTCAGTGATATGTATTACATTGTCAGTGATATGTAATACAATGTGAGTAAGGGATATGTATTATACTGTGAGTCAGATATATGAATTACAATGTCAGTCAGTGATATGTAATATAATGTCAGTCAGGGGTATGTATTGAAATGTCAGTCAGTGATATGTAATACAATTTCAGTCAGGGGTATTATTACAATATCATTCAGGGATATGTAATACAATGTCAGTCAGTGATATGTAATACAGTGTCAGTAAGGGATATGTATTATACTGTGAGTCAGATATATGTATTACAATGTCAGTCAGTGATATGTAATACAATGTCAGTAAGGGATATGTATTACAATGTCAGTCAGATATATGTAATACAATGTCAGTCAGTGATATGTAATACAATGTCAGTAAGGGATATGTATTACAATGGCAGTCAGTGATATGTGATACAATTTCAGTCAGGGGTATTATTACAATATCATTCAGTGATATGTAATACAATGTCAGTCAGGGGTATGTATTACAATGTCAGTAAGGGATATGTATTACACTGTGAGTCAGATATATGTATTACAATGTCAGTCAGTGATATGTAATACAATTTCAGTCAGGGGTATTATTACACTGTGAGTCAGTGATATGTAATACAATGTCAGTCAGTTATATCCCTCCCACATATCTTTATTGTAGCTATGTAAAAAATACAAATTGTGTGAAGTAATTCTAATTAGTGTATGCATTGCATTATTGCTAAATGCAATGCACCTTATTTATATTTCTAGTTTAGGGACATAATTGATTGTTTGATGTTTAAATTCCTTTTTTATTTATATTCATTAATGAGGTAGCGCATTACATTTTTAATAAATTTCAATAGAATTGTTATTTTGGGGATTGTTTTATGTAATGTTTAAATTTAAACTTTATCTTTATACAACTAAGCATTTGTTTATAATACTTTATATATTATTTGATCCTTTTTTTCTCCTTTTTACATGTATGTAGTATTTATCTGATAATCCAGCCACCTTCTAAAGGAACGAAAGCAGAACAAAAAACAAAACAAATAGTTTGTTGGAGACCGCCTTGCTGCATGTACTGATGATTGGATTAACGAGATCAGTGAAACGTTATTTTAACAAAGACGGTAAATTTCTGAAGCAACCAGCCTACCAACTTGCCTTTTCAATGCTGTTGATGACGTACCTGGAAAAAACGCTTTTAATCCCGGAAGCAAAGCTAACGATGGTCTACTTCATTTTCAAGGTTTGTCCTATTTTCTACGGCGCCTGTCAATGTTAAACACTTAAAGTGTTCTAATATTGACATTTGAACATTCTCCATAGGTCTCACTAAGCGCTTGATTATTTGTATTTCAAATAGATATTTGTAATTAACATTTTGCAGGGGTCTATATATTTTCAAAGTCTCCAATAGGGATCGAAACTGGGACCTCTATTTAGCTAAAGAGAATTTCTCCCTAGTCGGTAGGAAGGGGGCTAGCATTTAACCAGAGTGACACACGTGTGTTTATAAATGTGTATTAGTATAAAACAATACATTTAATGCATTTTTGTTTCAGTCTATTTCAATTATTATACGACATAAAATTCGAATTGATATTTAGTTTTCGTAATTGGTCATAATTAAAACGATATCATATTTGAATGTTTATTAGGGTATTATTGGGTATAACATGCAGTATATTGCATAGATTACCTAAATTTATATTTTTCATGATTTCCTGTGTCTTACGTAACTTTATTATATGAACTGTTTTCAATATTAAATGCCTATTGAAATAATATTTTTGCTATGTTAAACCTGTTTTATTACTTGTGTTAGTTCTTATGATAACTTGTTTTTAATATTGCCATGCCACTTTAACGTTAAACATATACTTTTTCATTATGTAATATAAAAAAAATCATTATTGTAATCGTTATATGCTCAAGTATTGATTTAATCTGATAGATCATGAGAGAGGGGACATGTCAACACATAATTAATCATTGAAGAAGGACACAAAAACGTCGCTATACCACCATCATCTTTCCAGCTCAAATGTAACGTTTTCTATTACAATGTGTAAAGAAACGTAAAGAAAAGAGAATAATAAACCCTAAAATAAACTGGTGTTAAAATTTGGCAAATTGTACAATAATTAAACTTTCTATAAAAGAAATATAACCCCGTGAGCTAACATCTGGGCCAACACGAGTGATTCACATACGTTAAAATAACTTGTTTCTTAATTGTTTGTAAAATATATAAGTTTACATTTAAACCTTTATACTGGACTAAGATAATTAGGGTAAACGCCGGCTGTTATAGTAAATCAAGCGTTACACACATGTGGACTATCACTAGGAATGTCTACGGAGGAAAACGCCTATATAGCTGTGTCAGTGTGACAGTTGATGTGTTAATAATGCATCGCCACAGGTTCAGTATATCATTTCTATCCGGATGCCAGGATCAGTGAAGCATTTCCAGGAATAGCGGCAGAGTACCGGGTGTTAGACAGGCGTGATAAATAAGGTGCAGGTTCAGAGATACTCTGTACAGACCTCAACGAGAAAGTGCAGTAATAGAAACCTGGTTAATACCATTCCAACATCACATCACATATAAGGCTTACGGGACACCTAAAAGTTCATTAATCGTTCTGACGAAATTTAAACGTTAATTTAAAACATATGTTTCACGTGTGATAACAATGCAGTAGTTCGTTTAGATGTTAGCTTCCAAATAATTGATCTACTGTCATAGCAAGGTTCACTGATCGACACTGTCAGTTATGGGTAGGTGTTCGTTGTTAATATGAACTATCTGAATATCTTCAGACTGCTATATGTGACTGTAGTTATTCAATTACCACAACGGTATATACTGTACTTATCTCAACCTTACCTTATACTATGGTATATAAAACGTATGTCAACATGAAAATTCAGAAAGATACGGTGTCAGGTATACATACAGCATGTGCCAGGTATGGTATACCTAAGCTTTAGGGGTCAATATAGTAAGGTGTACATGTCTTACCCTTTTCCACTGGTTTGCGAAGAACTCTTTGGTATCATGCGACAGGACTTTACTCCTCCAGTTATCGGGTGGTAGACTAATACTATCGTCGCTTCTCAATGAGTTGAAGGTACCATATTTGTTGTTCTGATCATCCACTTTGCTTTGACCGTAATCCATACTGACGCCGAAAGACTTGGAGTATCCGCCCTGACGACTCGCGGCGATATCGTCTAGTGTGAATCTACCATCGGTACCGTCGTATATCCCCGACTCGGCAATCGGTGAAAGTCCTTGTTTTGTCTTTGGGTTATCACGTGTGTGTCCATAGTCACCATTTCCATTTTCAAGTGTTGCTCTAATGGTTCGACTATATGGATTGTAAACACCGTATGGATTTTCCGTCTCTGATCCGGTATATTTTTTGCGTGATTCCCGAAGTTTGTCTCCGGTTTTCGACTTTCGGTTATCATCGTATACTTTCGTTCGTCCTAAGTTTTCATTTTTCATCCACTCGAAACCAAAGTCTTCATCGTCATTCTTGTCCCCAAATCTGCGAGATTGACGTGCACGTTCGTTATCATCATTCGATGTCTCTGACCAGTCGTCGTTTTCAAATTTTCCTGATTTGGCTAAATTCTGCTTGTCCTTGTCTTTATTCCGGAAGTAAAATGTATCTCTCAGATCTCTAGGGTCAAAACGGGACATGATTAAATTTGATAATTTAATTGTGGAGTAAAGGATTTTGGAAGATATAACAATTCAGCACTTTATCTGTCAACACAATGTATAAATCGTCACTATATTTGATTTTTGTTAAAAATGGTTTAAATCCCCGACCTATCTAGATATATTCACATGGAACAATCGGTATTATCACACTCCAATTTCGAAAATATCCAAATTATTGTTGTAGTTAAATCCCAGACACCAATAATAGTTCATATATTGACTTAATCACATCAATATTTCGGAGTGCACATTGAATAATGCGTTGACACAAACATGCATGTTTCCATGTTGGGTGTTCCACTCGAAGTAAAGTAATTATATGTGATCTGTGAATTTTACTACCGGGTTGGTACAACAAAAGCTGCGTCTATAGTTGGGTTCAACAAACGCTTGAATAGCTGCAGTTCCTTGACAGACATTGTGTCTATTCACTCACCTGGGTATATCGCGTCGCTATTTGGGTATATATTTGTTACTTTTCATTTGTCTTTCTTTTTTAAAACTTCACTTAAATACAAAACACCGTGTCGTTACACGAAAAGCGTTATCAGCCCAACCAGATATACATGAGGCTATTAATTCTATGCCACGATGATAGCCAATATTAAAACTGAAAACGAATAATGTACGCTTTGTAAAAATAACTGATCGTCCATTCAAACAAGTATTGATTTATTTTCGTGTGTGGCTTTGGAACAGAATACGTTAACACATGTGTAGTGTCGGGTTCAACAAGCTAAGCATACTGTAAGAATAAGACAATAACGCCACTGTAGGACAGATTTAGGAGATAATTAAATGTGGTGTAACATTACAAAATGCAAGACCAAACAAAAAACACGGATGCGTCACACAAAATTAACATTCCGACATGCAATGCATTGTCATATTTACATGTACTTATTTTAATTTGTCATTCAAGTCATGAGTAATCAAAGAAATAAGAATACTAACATAAACAAATGTCATATTCTACAAATCACTCCCAGACCTTCTGTATGTGAATGGTCGGTGTGTGGGGTGGAGTAGGGATACCTTTTTGTACGAGGCTTTGGTGTCACCTACAAATCTTCTGTGTGTCTGGAAGGGGGATGGGGTCGGGGTCGGGGTCATCTTCAGACGTTCTATATGGAGGTTAGAGATCAACTTCATATCTTCTTTGTGTGGAAGAGCCGGGGGAGGGGGAGGGGGAGGGGTCACCTTCAGACGTTCTGTGTGGAGGTTGGGGATCACCTTCATATCTTCTGTGTGTGAAGGGAGTGGGAGTAGGGGAGGTGTCACCTACAGACCTGTTGTGTGTGGAAGGGATGGGGTTGGTGGAGGTGTCATCTACATACCTTTTGTGTGTAGAAGGGTGGGGGTGGAGGAGGTGTCACCTTCATATCGTGTGTGTGGAAGGGGTAGGTTTGGGGGGTTATGTCATGTACACACCTTCTGTGTGTGGAAGGGGTGGGATCGGGGGAGGTGTCACCTCCACACCTTCTGTGTGTGGAAGGGGTGGGATCGGGGGAGGTGTCACCTACACACCTTTTGTGTGTTGAAGGGGTGGGGTTTGGGGTGGTTTCGCCTACAGACCTTCTGTGTGTGTGGAGAGGGGTTAGGTTGAGGGAGGTGTCACCTACATACCTTTTGTGTGTTGAAAGGGTTGGAGTGGTGGTGGTGTCACCTATAGACCTTCTGTGTGTGGAAGGGATGAGGTTAGGGGAGCTGTCACCTACAGACCTTCTGTGTTCGGAAGGGGTGAGGATAGGGGAGGTGTCACCTACAGACCTTCTATGTTTGGAGAGATGATGTTAGGGGAGGTGTCACCTCCACACCATCTGTATTAGTAAGGGATGAGGTAATTTGAGGTATCACTTACAGACCTTCTGTGTATGGAAGAGGTGAGGAAGGGGGAGGTGTCACCTACAAATCTTCTGTGTTGGAAGGAGAGGGTCGGGGGAGGTGTCACCTACACACCATCTGTGTTCGAAAGGGATGAGGATGGGGTAGGTGTCACCTACAAATCCTCTGTGTGTGTAAGGGGTGAGGAGGTGTCACCTACACATCTTATGTCTTCGGAAGGGATAGGGTAAGTGGAGATATCACCTTTATACCTTCTGTGTGTGGAAGAGGAGGAAGGGGGAGGTGTCCCCTACCTACCGTGTGTGACAGTGGTGGGTTACGGGTAGATGTCACCTACAGACCGTCTGTATGTGGAAGGGTAGGGGTTGGGGAGGGGTCACCTACATACCTTCTTAGTGCGGAAGGGATGGGGATGTGGGAGGTGTCACCTACATATCTTCTGGTTGTGGAAGGAGGGAGACGGGCGCGGTGTCACCTACATACCTTCTGTGTGTAGAAGGAATGGGGTTGCGAGAGGTGTCAACTTCATACCTTCTGTGTGTAGAAGGGGTTAATTTGGGGGAGGTGTCACCTTCATACCTTCTGTGTTTGGTGGGGTTACGGAGGTATCAACTACAGACCTTCTGTGTGTCGAAGGGGTGGGGTTTAGGGAGGTGTCACCTTTAGACCTTCTGTGTTTGGAAGGGTTAGGGAGGTATCAACTACAGACCTTCCCTGTGTGGAAGGGGTGGGGTTAGGGGAGGTGTCACCTTCCCAGATATTTTGTGTGTGGAAAGGCTGGGGTTAAAGAAGTGAGTACACGTACCTTCTCTCTGTGTGAGTAAGGTACGTTAAGAATTTCTGTGTAAAGGGGTTACCTACAGACCATGTGTGTGATTAGATGGGTTACTTTGGTTTACGTTTGTCGGTTGTGTATTCGTTTCTTATTGCTTTTTGTTCTACCTACAATGTGTTGCCTTTCTGTATCGACCGATATCCGAGTTCGTCCTGTTCTTTAACACTGTAGTGCAATTATGCTATTCTTTATGTCGACTCTTAGATAACAAAGCTGTCTACTATCGTCTGATTTGGAGATAAGTACACGAATAAAACCGTATTTATTACTAATTGCATAATAATTAAATGTCGAGAGAAGATTTCGTGTTCTAATTAATGATGAATTGCATTGAAATGTGTTATTTGCGTTATGTATACGGACTGTAAGAGTTTTGATTACATCCATATCAATTCTTAACCATAATTACTACTAGATCTTAAGTATTGCCATGGCCTCGTTTAAATTAATTTTTTAGACCAGGTTGTTCTATGTTTATGTGTGACTACATGTCAGCGAAAACGCCAAATCGGTAATGTGTATATACCGGGGTTTGGTTATGTTAATGTATAGGGACTAAGTATGTTAATGAGTGTAGCAAGCATAAACAATGATTTTCACACGAAGTCTTATAATATTCATAAAGACAAAATATTTAAGGACTTTTGTCCGTCGAAAATTAACTATTTCAATAAATAACATATCCTTAATACAACAAAACAAACATGTCTAGAAAGAAAATACAAAAAAAACTTATGCCTCAAAATGCTGAAAAGCTAAAATGCTTAATCGCTAACACACCAGGAAAATATATACCTCCCAAAATAAAATGGCAAAAATTGCTTTATCGCCAACCAACCAGGAAATATATACCTCAAAATACTCAATGGCAAAATTTCACAAAATTACTACATCAAAACATCCGGACATTGTTTTAATACTTAATGGAAAATTGTCTCATCGTCAACACACCACGTCAACATGCATCTCATCGATCCTCCAAGGTAAATAATACCACTTTGTCAACACACAAGGGCAAAACACGAAAGTCAAAATGATTTATACCGACCGTGATGCGAGCTGACGACAGACTAGAACGAACGGGTAGACATCATTTACACCACAAAATAAAATCGACTGAAATGTAAGTTGTTTCACAAGGAATACCATTTGCTACACCACAAGCGGGACCAACCATGTGGTTTCCATGAATACATGATTTAATACTTAATAGACGAAAGAGCCATATATAATTCCATAGTTGTATTCCTGTACTTGTTAAGGTACAGCTTACATACCCCGGGGGAAATCTTAAATCTTCCTTTAAACAAACCTATCTTCGTGTGAAAAACATCGCTTCCTACAAATGACAGTGCAATTTCACACATTTTTGGCATGCAACAAAACATACACTTACATGCAAAAATGTACATCTTAAGCAGGAAGCTGTTAGCCGATTTTTTTTAAGCTGAATATTTTAAGTAATATGATTATGACACAATCATTATTTATTCAAATAACAGACCATTTGTATACGTGATGACAATATGAATTATAAACCTATCGGTAAACAATTACTAGAAACTGTGTGTACACTACCATTACATGTATTTCCTGGGTATTCCTGTGGGTACACAGAAAGTAATTAAAAAGTGACAGATATACGATATCTGCAAACTTACCCTCGTCCCCAACCGTGTGACATTTTGAACGTTGTCTTAACAATATATCAGTTATCCTTTTACTAATGTTAGACATACGCGTATGAAGCAAATAACAGCAATGTAAGTGTTGTTCAATTTAAGATTTGTTAATATTGTGTATTTAATGATGCACGTGTGAAAGGATGTTGTCGGGTTTTTTTTGGTTACAGAAAGCTTACCGATTGTATAAACGACTGGACATCGAGTTGCGTCTTGTTTTGTCAGATCGCCAATATATCAAAGTACATGTAGAACTCTTAACAAAGTACTGTAAACCGGGACATTTTCAAGCCAAATTTTCGCCCAATATTAAATGCGCCCTTCACATTTAATTACTATGTATAATGTATATTATGTTGTTTACAAATGTTCGCTGTGATCATAAAATCGCCCACTTTACGGCGGACGAAAAATATCTCGGTATGCAGTAATAACGCTCTATGCAAATGTCGTTCAAGGCTATCACAAGTGTAAGCATACACCTAAATACAAACGTTCTAGAAGTGTATAACTATTGTGTAATATTCCAAATATAGTCACTCTCCTTAATGGGATTCTACATTACAAAAGAAATTAAATAAGTGATGTAGAATTGTTGTAAGAGTTGTAAATTTAATGATTTGTCAATCAACAAAAATCATTAATTTTTCATTATGTAATCATTACCCTGACCTCTAACGTTACCTTTAATTCTGAAGAGTCACTCACACAGACAAAACACTTCATGGTACGGTCACACTGCATAGTCTCTCCTAGCGGTTTGTGTAAAACGAGAGTTGGGTTATATCTCATATTACCACCATGAAATCCATACTGAAGACTGTGTTTGACTGTAGACGAACACATTATTATGACAAAAACTGATATAGTGGCTTCGACCGTTTATAAGCAGATTTTATGATCCATTGTATCTAAGACATTTATATTACAATCAATGGGCCATGGTCAAATGTATATAATCACACTTTATAATACAAACGGTAGACCATGTTTTTAACTGTAAATAAACTCACTAACTTTTACCAACGGTAGACCATGTATTCAACTGTACATAAACTCACTAAGTTTTACCAACGGTAGACCATGTTATCAACTTTATATAAACTCACAAAGGTTTACCAACGGTAGACC